AATAGAAAATACCCTATAAATCGTTCACGGAACAATAATACACAGAGTACGATTATATTACTAAACGCAGGAGACATTTAAGACATTAAAAGATTCATTCGTAATTCCATTCGAAACAGCAATTCGAACGCCACAGTGATATGTTTCGAACACAGACACGAGATCGCGCAAGCGTGTGTGTGCTCTATGAATATTTCAAACATCGATTTATTCGAAAAAGTGTCGCTCTACATTTTTGATTGATTTTTTCATGCAAATTCGACCCCTTTCGGCTTGTACCATCAGTTCGATAACTCCCTGTATATTTAAACAACTTCCCGCACGGAAAGAATTATACATTTCTTCTTTCGCGATCATCCCATCGGAAATGATGATTTTCGCCGACACGAATGGCGGACTTATTTTTGGAAAATATCGCGCATATTGTCGAGAGTATTAGAACCCGATCGATACCGGAGAATCCAGACGCAAGAATGCCAGGATGTTTGACAGTGAATAGACAGCGATCCTCTCCTCCCCTGCCAAATGTATTATTCAGAGCGAGCTGGCTCAATTGACTGTAAAATTCACATGCCACTTTAATTGGCTTAGTCTGAAGGAAGATAAGGGTAAAGACATAGTCGAGGAGGGATAACCGGGATCATTGCACGTCTACGTGGAATAAAGATGCAAGACTCGTTGCAACATTAGGATCGAATAAATCATATTATACTTGTCCGTTGAACGGACCATCGAAACGTCTTTGGAAATTATTTCTAACGTACTTCGTTGCGATCTGATTAATTTTAATTTCAATTTCGACGAGAAAGTAGGCCAGACAGAATTTGCAAAGTAACCGCGGATTAACTTTCCCCGGCGATATTTCATTAAAAACTGGGAAGAAAATGTGAGTACCGGTTTTTCCATTGCCGCGAATAAAGACGTCCCGCGATGAACCAAGTACATATCAAAGGGAAGAGTAATCTCTCACAAAGTTTGTGTATCTACGGTCGAAACAATCTTTCCTCGTGGTTTCATTCGTGTCTTTCAATCCCTGACGCCATTTTCATATCTTCTGAAAGAATTGTCTAAGCGTTACTCGCGAGTTTAAAGAGGAATGTTAAAAATTATATATAAAAAGATGCGAGCCTGGGAATGAAAGAAATATATACATATACATATATAACAAAATTAATATTTTAATTAAAATGTTATATCGGTTATATTTACCGATAAAGACTTGCAAGTTACGGATAGAAAGTTCTAAAAAGAAACGAACGTTTCACGATTTACGCTTGACGTCGTTTCACACCGACCGCCATTTTTGTCAAAACTCTTCGATAATAAACCGTCTGGAGTTATCGAAGTGTTCTTCGCGACTTCAGGAGGCGTCGATGTCATTTTAAGAGGACAATCTTCTGGGGAAAATCTATCCTCCGGTCGGAAAAGACCAGCAACGACGCGACAATTTCGACGTAGTTTCGTTTCCGTTGCCGACTTCCGGTGACTTTTAAAACTTGGACAACCTCGAGGAACGTCGATCCGCTTCCTCCTCGTCGTCTAACTGATTGCGGACAATCTCGTTCAAGACGAAACAAATTCCATAACGATGCTCTGGACGCTTACTTTTCGTCCAGAGGCGCCCGATTATTATCATTTCCTCGAACAATTTTAGCATTTTGATCATCCTGAAACTTTATTCGAGCTTCAATTTTATTTTGTATAGAAATCTTTTTATCTTGGAAGAAATTTTAATATCGTTAAGAAATGTTTCAACGTTGAAAGAATAATATTGGTTACGAATGTTTCGCGTGGAATTGTTTTAATACTTTTTCCAGTCTTTATGGAAAAGCATCGGTTTAAAACGTCTCTCTGTATTTGATTCGCGAAACATGATCTCCTTTTTTCTCGTCCACGGAGCGATCAATTCAATAGGAAGGAATGAAAAGTAACAAAGAATAATATTATCTTTCTCCGTTCGATGCGGTTTTGTTCGTCGGCAAATGTTGAAATAACGTATTCATTATGCGAGACAGCGTCGGGATTGTTATTGCGACCAAAGTATTTCACAAAACGCGCTAAATAAACACCGTAGTTATCCTACGAGAGACATTATTTCAATCTGCGGAATCGATTACGTTCTCTTTGAAATACGTTGCTAAATGTGTATATCGGCTCGAACGCGTTGTCCAGAGATCTCCCCGAAGGAAGATTAGGTCGCCGCTCGAGGACGTTCTAATCTGTTTACACGACGCACCTTTTAGCGAGGCTCTTCTTCACACATCGCCGCTTAAACCCACCCGCGACTCTTCGATATTAATTCTAACGGGCGGTGAAATTAATTTTATTCACACTCGGCCACAAAGTAGCGTCTCGTGTTCCACGTCCGGGCCCTTTGCTTCCCCTCGGTCGCCGACGAAATCGTATAAACGTTCGAAACGAAGGTACTCTCGCCGCGCCGCGCCGGTCGCACGAGCCACGTAATCGAACGTCAATTTTTCTCCCGAGATAAAGCGACACCTCGATTGACAGGATAAATCGTCGCGATGCTTCCTCCCGGAGACTGAAAAATGATTCTGTCCGTGGAACGTTCACGATCCGCGATCATCCGTGGAGCCGCGCGCCCCGAATGCATACGTACGTTTCTCCATTCGCGTAAACGCGAATCAGTTGCCTCGAAGGAAAATTTCCTTCTCCGGGTTATCTTATTTTTATGAAATATTCGAGAGATTCTTCATAGAATTCAAGCTCGTTTAGAAAATGTCTGGTTCGTGGTCCGAACGGGGAGCCATTATTGAGAAATATTTTTTTAACAAACCGAGAACCGACACGAGAAGTCTGTTTAGTCTTAAAAATGAATAAATATACAGTGAAACTTGTACTTTGTAGGTGTGGAAACTTGGAAAATTCATTTCACGAAACCGTGGAAACTGTATCAATGGCGCGCTGCAATCGATGCGTGATTAATTAAATCAGGACAACGTTTTTTGACCCGAACCGCGGAAGTTTCTGAACTCCCGTTGTCGATGCCGCGTTTCAAGTCGTGTCGAGGCGTTACTAAGTTAATTACCAGAATTAATGTGGACCGGCGGCGTTAATCCAGGCACGGCACGCGAGCCAATCAAGGTGCCAGATAAGAATTAAATGGTATCGAACAGACGGCTCGTTAGTCGTACCGTGTCGGACATAAATTCTGCGTTAAGCTGGTCCGTTGGAACGCGTTTGCGCCGATGTCCTATGGAATTCCGTATCGGCAGGCATCTCTCGAACAGCGCGTATTTCAATTGTAATCTGGGTTATTAATCGATATTATTGTTCGTCGAACGCTCACACGCGTGACGCGCATATTTTGTGTCGTTTGCTCAAGCATCGGCACAGAGACGACAAAAAGAGTTGCAAGTTCGAATCTCGTTATTTTTCCGACAATATAGAATTTCGCTTATTTTTTCTCGTTGCCGGAGAATCGATAATATTAGAGTCAATATCCGTTTCAATTTCTGTTCGTTGTAAATAAAATAATCCGTCCTTGAAGAGGCTAATTTGTTATCCACTCAAAAGTACTTTCGACCGTTATAGACGGATATCATCTCCATAATGTATGGACATTTCGCTAGAATATTCTCGTTTAAAATAATAAAATAGGATAGCAGGGCATTCGGATAATAAACGTTCTATCGAATTCCGAAAATACTCCGAGATTCAACTGCCAATCAGAAGAATTGAAGAATCACGTGGCAGAGGAATGTAAATACGATTGTTTCGAGAGTAGTGAATCGAAAGATATCGATATCATGTACAAGTTGTCTTCTGAAACTAGGCCAAGCCATTGCGTTAAAACGGTGAACAAAAAGGAAAGTTCTTTTACCTATTTTTAATAGATAATTTTATTCGATACAATTAGTTGTTTTCTAAAGAGATTGGCGACAACGAGTACTTTGTCGCGGTTAAACGATATCGACAGTTAGGCGCACGCATTACCACCGAGATAATAACTGTGATCGACTTAATCGATCAGCAGCCCCCCGATCACTATAATTTTCTCCTTTTTCATAGCCACGTTGCAGAGGTTCGCCGGCAAACGCCCTAGGTGGTCGATTGGCTAATCATAATGATCGTACTAGAGAATGAGTAACGACTTTCCAGTTTGAATGAGAAGCCCCGCCGCGTATTAAGGCCTGATGAATTTAACAGGAATTACGATCCTGAATATTTTGAAACTTTCTCGCTCTCTAGCTCTTTAATGATCGGCTTTAACGATAGGAGGAACCTATCGATTGAAATTCAAACTTCGATTTAATTTTTGCGATTACATTTTTATTATTTATTTATACATACGAATCGCAGAACGGTGGCAAAGGGTTAAAAATATTGGGGCAAACTATTCGGGCGAGGAGAAACGGATCGTTCGAGGGATCGATCGCGAGACAATGGGAGCGAAAATCGGGCGGGCGGTTTCGCGTTGCACCGTCGAAATAAAAGGGACGCCGCGCTTCTGGAGAACGGGGACGGCGCAATTTAATTGTAGCCGCACTTCCGTCCAAAAACGGATACCCACTTTCTGGCGTTACCGCTCCGAGGCGGAACTTTTATAACAAGCCCGGCTGCCGGTCGTTTTCCCAGCGCACGTACACCTCGTTTCGGGAAATTTCGAGCCCCGCTTTTCTCCACGAGCCCTGCGAACTGTCAGACGTCGATTCGGATTAAACATTGCACAAACGTTCATCGATCCAACCCAACAATTATGCCCCGTTTCGTTCTTGTTACTTTTCGACTCTGCTACACCTTCGTACAGGGATCATTTTTACCCAGGCGAAGCTCTTTCTATTCTATTCTTTGGTCAAGCATAAATACAGTGAGCGTCGATAGAAAGTTAACGCTTGAAATATATATATGTATATATATATATATATATCTGAATTTGTTGATTCGTTTAAAGAACTTGCAAAATTTAACCGAAACGTTCGAGGAGAAAAATATCGTATCGCACAACACCAACAATTATTTTTGTATGATTCTTTTAGATATGCCTACTGGGCCTCGTCGTAAGCGACAACAGTACTATCGACGATTCGGTCATCGAAGATGTTTCGGAGATCACGAATACAGGCAACAACCCTGACGCAGATTCGGCAGAACAGGTAAGAGTATTTTAAACAAAGAATGTTAAGCTCAAAATTTATTGAAATTGGCATTCTCTTCGCACAGAAACAGATGTCAAGATTTTTTCTATTTAGTAGCAATTTATAATTTGCTTTTTCGATGCAGTTTGTCGTTGCGATACAGCGAGCTATATCCAACAAACAATTACCACAAAAACGATAAGCTAACCGTTCCCGGCGAGTCAAAAGCTTAATTCCAAGTTCCAAACGAAACCACCCCTACCGCCACTCGATAAGCTCAACGACAGGGGATCGCTCGAACCCTTCGACTCCCAATATAATTCCCTCTCACAGCTGAAGTGAGGCAAATTGAAGCATCAATCCCATCCGAGCGCTAACGTCTCGCACACGTTACGGGCCGTGTATTTCGCCGGTTTCCGGGCTCGTACCTGTGGATTTCAAAAAGAATAAAGCTGGCCCGGAGTTACGGGAGAAATAAACACCTTTATTCGTGCCAGCCAGCCGGAAATAGGTCGCGGAAATCGTTACATCAGCGACCAACTTCCTCCCCTCTCCCCATCACTCTTTTTGTTACCATTTTATTTTTTCTCCTAACGAAAACACTGTGCACGACTCGTGCAAAGTCTTTTACGCCTCGCGAGGCTTCCTCGTTGGTCTTTCGTGCTCTGTTTAGCCCGGCGCGAGGCGCCGCGGCGCCGCGGCGCAACTTCCGACGTTTTGCTCGGTCTCCGCGCGACTCGACTAATCTCAAGATGACGTTGCGGACGACGCTCGTGGAAACTCTTTTTTTCCGGGATTCGGTCGCGAAACGACGCGAAAATGGTCCGTGACTTGACGTGGCCAACCCTTCTTCGTGGACGTTCACCCTGGTGCTACTCGTACCACGCATAACTTAGCCCTAAATCTATCTTGTACAGGGTGTGTCGGCCAACCCTGGGAAAAATTTTAATCCGAGATTCTAAAAAATATCACATCCTTTGCGATATCTGCCTTTCTATCCTGTACCGAGTTAAACAGCAAGCCTTCTCTTTCTCTCGTCTCACATTTTCGTTGCAACTTTTTAACGAGATGAAACTTTTTAAGCATGTTGAGACACACTCGCGAAAATCAGTCAGACACCTCTAGTCGCGTTAATCGTTGTCGCGTTTCCCCTCGAAATTTCTCTTTCATCTCCACTCACCAGAGTTTTGCGCGAGTAATTTCTGTTTTTTGCCCAAAGAAATTCGCGAGTAGTTTCGTTTTGCCACTTCGATCGCGATCCTGGGAACATTTTTTTGCCAGCAGGGAAGGGCGTTTCACCCCGTCGTCGAGGAATTTCCACTTTCCTTGAGAGCTTTGAGAACGAGCGGACCAGGAAGCTCCGTTGGCCTACTTTTGCTCGAGGTAAGGCGAGACACGAATGCACCGCGATGCATCGCAGTCGATACGCGTGTAACACTTCTTCATATTTCCTCTTAGACGGGGAACGCATTTTGAATATCGTCGTCGTGCCCGAAGCTCGCTCGATCGATGGTCCACCGACGCTTTTAGCGTCTCGTTGCTCCATATGGCGTCGAAATCGGGCCCAATCGGATATTGATTTGCTTCTAATAAACTGTGCAGAGAATTCGTCAGATTAAAACTCAGAAATCAAGATCCGTCATTCTACGTTCTCGATGAAATTTTCCAGAAAAAAAAAATGATACAATTCTCTTTAATAAGAAACAGTATACGTATAGTAAAAGATTACAGGAGAATTCACGTAACTCACATTTCAATTTACACGAGCGATAACACTTTCTAACTATGGTCTCTTCATACCGTTAATTAACGTATGTATATCCTCTCCGGAAAATGTTGCTTTAATTAAACACACTTGTTTGGAAAAAAAATACGCGCACGCACACAGCTGCGCGGAAAATAAAATTATACGAAGCAAAAACAGAGAACACTCGTCGTCCGTATGTAGGTCAGTCCAACAATTTTTCCCCTTGGCGTATTTCGCGCTAAAACTTCCCCTATCTTAACAGCTAGGCGCTTAACCAATTTTCGATCCGTCGGAAAAATGAATAAAAACTTTTCCTCCTTCACCAGGCTGTATAAAAAATAAAAAGCATGCCTCGCGAGAAAGCTCCTGTGCAACCCACTCGAGCATCGATGGTCACTTGCAATTAACCTTTAAGGAGATGTTCCAGATCTCGTACGTAGAATCTGGTGCATTTTGCTATTTTATAACGCAACTGTTCAAGACAGTAGTTTGGAACTGACCACCACCCAAAACAGTTGAAATTATAGAATATAAGCTAACGATAAGTGAAAGAATTTTGGATTTTTTCAACTCGTAATCGTTGTTATTCCCCTTAAATTCCTCGGACCGGAAATTGTCGAGAGCGGTGTTCCCTGACGCCTGGCGCCTGGCGTCGCGGCGTGCATTCGTAAAATGCTCGAAGCGACGCGAAACGCCCGAAAAATGTGCAACCGATTTTATGGTCCCGTCAGCCGGGGGGGGCCGAGAATCGCTACCAGCGATTTGCTGTGCTTCTCACGCCGCTCCTCGCCTCCACGATTTTATTTTAACCCGCCATTTTCTGCGCCAGCCAGCCCCGGAAGTCCTCCGCGTCGTGCGTAAAACTCGCGGAACTGCTGCTTCTCGTCCTCGCGATCATTTTCAGAGAACGATCTGGATCCCCAAGTGCTGTTGAGAACCCCTGCTGAACCTCGACTCCCCCAACGTGTTCAGAGTTTTACGGTGATCTTTTTATCGACGATCAGTTAACTGTTTTTTTTTATCGATACTGCAACAATACTGTTGTAAAATTTCGATGACGGTGGGTCTGTTTGTCTTTGTTTTACGAGGGCGACGATGTTGGTAGCCGTGCTAGTTGGTACGTTTATTTTGCGATGACCGTAATTTGTTTAATTAATCAAATCGTATCGATATAACAGAGTTATTACGAACTGCACCCAAAGGATCGATAATATCGCAACTACGGATTACGAAAAATTCCGAATATCCGGTTTAGCGTGCATGCATCGTCGAAAGCGTACGGTTATCGCATTTTAAATATGCAAATCAAAATTTATGAATTCGATTCGTATTGCGATGCAGGTCTTTCTGTAAGAAGCGATACTATTCTTGAAGATGACCGCAGGATACTCGTGGAAACGTATCACGAATGCATGTATCGTATTCGAAACTGGATCGTATCCGCATATAATACCGTATATGAACTGACATTGTAGAGAACAGTACAAATAGAGTAATTTTGGGTTGCGTATATTCGTATGATTCATCGATACGATTTTCCCTCCATTCTCTTCCAAACATTGCTTACACGATCCTTACGTTCAAATATACAAATATAAAAGAGCATTCCGGGTGGCCTATCGATGCAACTTTTCCAGCCAATTTTTCAAACGTCCGTACAAATATAATAAATTGGTTTTGTAAACGATGACCTGTTTCTACGATGGCGTTACCGAGTCGTTACCCAGAGAACAACATTTCCTACGAATATTTTCGATGGAAAGAAAATGCATAGGAGCTCGTTTCGCTGGCTGTCACGTATCAACGATCAGATTTCAGCATAATCCGAGGGTACAGAAAAGTTCCCTAAGAAAATGGACCAGGGAAATTCGGCGAACAATAAGACCGATACTCCAGGACAACCGTAACTTATTTTCGCATGCGCATGGAAAAATATCTTTGATACGAGCATACCACGCTCGCAATAGTGGATAAGGCGAACAAGGTGATATCCTGTATAGGAAATCGTGCTCGACGTATATATCTTTCGCTACCGTACATTTCCTTTCGGATATTTCACTGTTTCGCGGTGATTGCATTGCGCTACCAGCCCCGAGCGTAAAACTAACTTCGAGAATACAGTTCTGCACCCTATACCCTCCCCTCTCATCCCCGTACCATCCACCCCCCCACCTACGGCTAGCTATGCACGCCGGATTTTCCAAGCGAATTAGGATGTCGCGGGAGTATCGAAATAACGTTTGTCTCGGGACCGCGCGTATTTTCAAGAATTCCTTTTGCCGCATTGCGAATACCGAATGAGGACTGGTCTGGGCAAAGTTTCTCGAGCTTGGAAAATTTGGCAACTCGATTCCTCCGATACACGGCCTCGAGACGCTAGACTTCGGAACGAATCAACCGAATATACACGCAACGGAAAGGGGCGAGACGAAATGTTTCGCGTTCGGGAAACGCGCGATTGGGAATTGCCGTGGTTGATTTCTCCAACGGTTCCTGGTTTTTATATTTTTCACAGATGTTGCACATTTCACTGTTTACTTGATATTAAGAACAAAAAAAGAAAGGATCTTCTTAAATGTGTATCCGATGTATTAACATTTCTGGGATATCCAGCCATTACATTTTCAACGAAACCGGAAGAATAGATACGAGCGGAGAGAAGGAGGAAAAGGACATAATTTGGATCGCAATGGTCCATTGTGCGCGATTGCCAATGTTCGTGGCGAACTTCCTGAAGGTTGGAAAATTTGCCAACTCCATTTCCCACATACGTGGCTTCGAAAGTGCAGAATTCCGAATGGTAACCGTATAGACACGCGTTCGTGAGGGGGAAACGAGAGAAAAAAAAAAAAATAGTTTTCCATTTTAAAAAATAAATAATAATCCACTGCGAAGAAAGTGATTAACTAAAAATCACATCGTACAGACGACAATTCCACAATAAAATGACCCGGCTACGATAGTTTGTTTGTTATCGCGTAAAAGCGGCCCTGTTTCGAGGAACGACATTAGCGTCGATTACGGCAATTCCAATGGTGTTTGTGACCTGTAGCTCCCGTCAAACGACCGCCATTACGTATGGGAACGCTCGTACCCGCGGCGAATTACGTTTTGCCTGTAAGCAGCCGCCGCGCCGCCTTTGAAATCGAACACCCGTTAAATGCAATTAGACAATTAGCCTCGGGAGCACGATAGCCAGCGAGTGCTTCGTCGACGCTTTTCACCCTTCTGTTCTTCGAGAGCGCCACTAGAGCCGGCCGACCGACGTTCC